TACCTCTCAATTTCGCATTTACGGGTAAAGGTAATGATGCTGGAACGAGGGCCCTGAGGGATATCGTGGAAGCTGGTGCGGCGGGATTGAAGTTGCATGAAGACTGGGGAAGTACGCCTGAGGCTATTGATAGGGCTCTGACCATCGGAGATGAGTACGATGTACAGGTGAGTTGATCTTTTTCGTCCTGCATGTGTGGTGATCCTTCACTTTCCGGGAGTTTTTTATGGTCATGCTGATTGATATGGGCTAGGTTAACATTCACACCGATACCCTTAACGAGAGTGGTTACGTCGAGAGTACCTTGGCAGCTGTCAAGGGCAGAACGATTCACACGTGAGTCCCAATAGACTGAATTATCAGTTGAGTCCAGCATCTCAAGCTAACGAGCTGCACTCCATCTCGTTGATCATCCAGCTACCATACGGAAGGAGCAGGTGGTGGACATGCGCCCGACATTATCGTTGTTGTCGAGCAAGAGAATGTATTGCCAAGTTCCACAAACCCCACTAGACCATACGCCACGAATACCCTAGACGAGCACCTCGATGTAAGTGATAGAGAAGCCCAGCCTACTTCCAGCAAGGAAATAGCCAAGTATGTAGGCTGATCGAAAGTGCTCACTCGTCCGGTATGACTACTTCAGATGCTCATGGTATGCCACCACCTCGACAAATCCATCCCCGAGGACATCGCTTTCGCTGACTCTCGAATCCGAGCCGAAACAGTCGCAGCGGAAGATGTACTGCAAGATACTGGTGCGATCTCTATGATCTCGAGCGATTCGCAGGCGATGGGCAGGATTGGAGAGGTGATTGCTCGAACGTGGAGGACGGCCGCGAAGATGAAAGAGGTCCGAGGTGCGCTGGAGGGCGATAGTGAGAAGAGCGATAATGAGAGGGTCAAGCGATACATCTCGAAATACACTATCAACCCGTGAGTTCGATGGAAGCCAATCCTCGCCATGCTGCTCGATCGACTGCGTATGCGGGATCGCAAGAGAACGACACAGAAACGTACAGCTGACATTCCTCTCTGCTCGCTCTACGCCCAGCGCCATCACCCACGGCATGTCCCACTTGATTGGTCAAGTGGCCGTCGGCTGCTTGGCAGACTTGGTCATTTGGAAACCAGAGCATTTCGGTGCTAGGCCAGAGATGGTCCTCAAGAGCGGTGTGATAGCTTGGGCTCAGATGGGAGACGCCAACGCATCTATCCCTACCGTCCAGCCGGTATACGGACGACCTATGTGGGGCGCTCAACCCGAGGCTGCCGGTAGGAATTCCTTGGTATGGGTCAGCCAGGCCTCAATCGACAATGGTGAGTCAATCTTCCCGTTAGCTGCAATCTGCTGCTTTTCATCTGTTCATAAGAAAGGAGTTCACGGGATTGACATTTGAACTGCTTCACGCTTATAGGTGCAATCGCAAGCTACAGGCTGAATAAACGGGCTGAGGCTGTTAAGAATTGCCGAACGATCGGTAAAAAGGATATGAAGCATAACAACTCGATGCCCAAGATGGAGGGTGAGTGAATAGTCGACTTTTTCCCGTTCTCGTACCTGGTTCCTTTCGACAGGCCAGCCTGTGGTGATTTGAGCTGATTGGAAGTGCGATTCTGCATGTATAGTGGACCCCGAGACATACGAGGTCACTGCTGATGGCGTCTTATGTGACGCTCCGCCTGCGACTCACCTACCTCTCACCAAGAGACACTTTGTGTATTAATCAGACGGCCAGCTCGAACTTGAGCCTGGAGCTGTGCGCGTGACCGATCCGACTGTCTTTGCGGTTGCGGTTCATCTGATGAGAATCATTCTCGGGTGTTTTCTTATTCTTATTCTTATTTTATTACACGAGCTTATTTCGTTCTATCACTCTGTGTTGTTGACGTTGACGATGATGTTGCTTCCCTCTTGAACATGCGACACTTAATGACTCGGGAGCTGTAGTACTGTGTGTCGCAAATGTGACATGGCTTCAATTTCGAATCTAGCTGTTGCCATCCTAGACTAGCACAACCATCTTTCCATTACAGTGAATTTACCTTGATTGCAGGGTGATCGATGTATACTGGTATTTATTTACGGTACTTTTAATCCCACAACCAGCTAATCCACCTCAACCACTTCCTCCCCTTTGTCGACTCGGGTTCGTCCTCGGCCTCGGGATTGAGAGCAATGTGCTCCAATACACCTTGGATCGGAATCTCGGAGAGCCTGACGAATCTGGTCCGCTTGAAGATCTTCCATAGTCCAAAGGCAGCCAAGACGAGGGGGACGTCACTGCGATACACAAAATGGATGGACCATTAGAAGAAGTTAGTACAGTACATGGCCACGAAGGAAAGGTGTCACGAAGCTTCTTAGACCAGATGAGAACGGAGACTCGGCAAACTCGCAGGCTCGCAGACTCACAGGTAGGAAGTCACAAAGCCCGCTGCAGACCAGTTGCCGCGTGTGAAGACGGCCCAGCCATTCGTGGTGAGGATCAAGAGACACACGAACAGTCCAGCAACGGACGAGTAAGCTAGAGTAAGAAAAGACGAAATTTATCAGCATGCCATAGCAGTGCCATTGCCTGAGAATCCGCGTGTCTGTGTAGGCGCAACACTCACGAGTCCACCAGTTGTACCAAGGCAATTCCCGCCTATCTATCCCTTGTACTCTCAAAGCTCTGCACAGCCTAATATGATTGAACAAGATTGCAGACCACGAGATTAAGACTCCGCATCCAACGAGATCCAACAGCCAGTAAAACACCGTCAGGGCATTTTCGGATAACGACATGAATGCCAAGAATGAGAACAAGACGAAGATCGCCACGCAATTGTATGGGGTACCGTATCTGTTGGTCTTGAGGAAGAACGAGGGTGCCTGATGCTTGATTGCCAGGCCGTAGAGGACTCGAGTTCCCGCTAGGAGAGCTTGGTTGGACGAGCTGAAAGCGGAAGTGATGACCACTCCATTAACGATCGATGGTATAGCCTTGATACCGGCCGCTGAAGCAGCCAGAACGAAAGGACTGGTAGCGGCTGTTCCGGAATCGGATCCAAGCCTCTCGTCGTCTGAAGCAACCAGCATACCGACGATCAATACAGCGAGGATATAGAAGAGGGTCACTCGTGCGAAGACGCGTTTGACGGCTTTAGGGATTGTCCTTCTTGGGTTGACGGTTTCAGCAGCTGCCATAGCGACAGATTCGACTCCGGCAAAAGAGAAGACAGCATTGATCATGACCGACCAGAAACCCAAGAATTGACCCCATCGTCCCGTGCCGATATACTCCACGAATGGACCAGGTGTCTTCCAATACCTGAATCCGATCCTTTCGACACCGCTGACTCCGCCCAAATCAATGATCAAGCCAAGCAGGATAAGACCGACGATAAGAAGGATCTTGAGGATGGCGAAACCGAATTCGATCTCGCCGTAGTATCGGATGTTGATCAGACCGACTGACGCGGTGAGGGCAATGAAGATGACGATGAATACGGCGGAGTGAAGTGTTGTCCAGTATTGGAAGAGGACACAGATGGCTGAGATTTCAGAGGGGATCTAAGCCGTGGACAGGCAGGTTGTCAGCTCAGCGATTGCACGTACTGTACTGCACTGTATGTATTGATCATTTCCGCCTGCGCTGGAGATATGGAGCGAGCGATAGCCTAGTGGGTTCTTATGGTTTGAAAGGAATTTCGATTGTACTCGAAAATTGTTACTCACAGACAACCAATTACCATACACGATATTCCATCCCAGCGCGAACCCCAAAGAAGGATCAACCAAGAACTCGGCATGTCTGACGAAAGATCCGCTGACGGGTAAGAAAGCCGTCACTTCTCCCAGGGCGAACTGAACCGAGCACACGACCAAACCGATGAATGCGTAGCCTAGCAACGCTCCCAGTGGACCGCCAGTTTGAATAGCTCCTCCTAGCGAGAGGAATAGACCCGTTCCGATCGATCCTGTAACAAATACATATACGATATCAAGTCAATAGCCAAGTTCAATGATGGAGAAAGAGAAGGGGAATCGATAATGCTCACCTGCCAAAGCGATCATGGATACGTGCCGCTGTCTCAGACCACGCTTCAAGTCCCTCTGCTCGTATTCCGTCACAAGGTCGCCGGAGTTGACGTCCCTCCCTTTGCTGTACTCCCCATCCCCGTAGCCGTGACCAGCTCCGGTGCCAAGCTCGAGGTCATCTCGTTTCGCGTCAGGGTTGATGGACACCTGAGGTGAGATATGACCTGGATGTCCGGATAGAGTGTGGATCGCCTCATGCCCATATGTCGAGTCGAGTGGTTTTCCTCCAGTCGCCCGATGGGATGAGCTAGAAAGTGGGTCTGCCATCTTGAAGAACTTAGCTTGAGGAGCGAGCTTAGATACTGAAGACCGCAAGTGAGCTAGCTAGGTAGCTACTCAGTTCGTGTGATCAGCAATGTCAAGATAATAAGAATGCACGAATAACGACGATCAACATCAACATCGACATTCAACATCAACATTCCACATTAGAAGTTCAACATGAATTCACATCGTTCTCGCTGAATCCTATCGAGTCGGGAACAACCTCAAGCATCGCTCATCGCTCAGCGCACCATACGGATATCAAACAGACATTCCTCATCAGCGGCATTTGTCATTTTTATTCGTAAGATTCAGGATCCTGAACCCACCTGAACCACCTGAACATGGCGAGATACATACAAACAAAAGCGGTCGCATGCTTGGTCTGCGGGAAAAAACCACCTTATCACGCCATCAGCTGTCATCTCTGAATATGTACGGAAACTACTTTTAGCCTATCACCTGCTGAGGCTGAGGCTGAAACTCCGGACTCTGCTAATGCACAACGGTTATAGTCGGCTGGTGCGAATACTATCTCGTCGATCTTTGGCAATCTCGCTTAAAAGACCATGTCCTTACTTCACCGAAGAGCAGCCCAAGAACTGGTCTAGGGGATATGCAGTGTATGAGCCGACAAAAACCAAAAAGAACGGGTCTCGTCCCGGGATTGAACCGAGGACCACCCCCAAAGCTCTGTAAAGATCAGAACCCTAAGAGGGCATGCTACCACTGCACCAACGAAACAAGCGAATGCCTTACGAAACCGTGATCGCTGAAACTGAATTTTTACAACAAATATAAACCTTTGAGGCCATGACTTGGGTCGAGCGTTGTGTATTCAGCACGCCTCTGCTGCCGCGGAGAAACTGTTAACCTCCTGACATATCCGGTTCTCGTGCGTGATGCCTTCGTGAGTTTCGCCAGGTAGAGAGAGCACTGCGAGTTTCCGCTCACAGGCAATGGGCATACGGGGCATTGCCTACTCAGCCATGTCCAAGGCGGCAGCATTAAGTTGAACAACCGCTGCTGGCGGCGAGCTAAAACGCCCAGAAATGATTCAGGAACGACCGACATCAAGCCGCGAATCCCCATTCCGAGAAAAACGTCTATTGTTCTTTTTGACTTTTTGCCCTAGAACCACGTTGCTGATCAACAAGATGCTTATTGTTCGACGATTTCTTCATCTTTGCAACCCGCTTCCGACAACAGTAAGGATGCTCCAAGGTATGCATATTCTGATAGATTCAGATGCAAGGGTCCTAAGGAGGTGAGGGGAGGAAGGAAGGGGTACGAGACAAAAAGACGCTCGAAAACTCCAAATTCGCTTCCTTGGCTAAGCTAGGCTAGCATCAACATCATCATCAAAATCACCCACCGCCTGATATGACAATTTGAACTTCAATCTTCACTCTCCGTTCGCCCCATGTTTGAAGGTCAAAAAAGGGGTGAAAATGTTTGCTTGATGCACATTGGCCTGGCCTGATTGTCTGTCTGACAAGTGCCTTGAAAGTCTTCTTTGTATGCATTCCAATTGACCTGTGGATAGAACGGATATTAACATCCATACGATTCTCACCGTTTTGATCTTCTCACTTTGTTTCTTTCACAACGTCACCATTTCCAGGTATATATGTAGTCGATCTCGTCTCCTCTGGCTTCAGCGCTCACTAAACTTGTTGAATATATATCTAGTCCCATAGTGGATCCTCTGCTCGCACCGCATCGACATAGTCTGACATCGCCGTAAGGCTCCGCCCGTATATAGTCGCCATCAAATCCACACACAAACCCACACGCAAGCACACAAACTGTCCTGCATCACATGAAGATTGATCATTGATCCCCACCTGAGACCTAGACTTGATACCCTGCTTGACTTGCTTCTGATTGATCCAAGTCAGCCTCGAGGTTAACACGACCAGCTGCGTCAACCAACACCAACACCACCACTTGCAAGCTATAAGTGATTTAAGAACGTCCAGCCCCAGCTATAGTATATCTTGATCCTTTCTCACATATCATGACACTGAGCTCATCATGTTCATTCCTCAGACCATGACGACTCGAGCTTCTTCCCCTTCTTCTTCCCCTCATACTCCTCCTCTCAACTCGCCCAGGATGAGAGTCACATTGCCAACTCCTCCTTCGTTCTCGGCGCATCGATCTCGCTCTTCAGAAGGTATGGAGCGACAACATTCTTCGAACAGTATCACCTCAGCTGCTGTCTTCAGCGAGAACGAGGAGGTCGATGAGCTTCAGCAGACTACCAAGCAGGCCAAGAGGCTCAGCATCTCGTCCATTCACGATCCTGTCGTGGAAGGCAATGACAAGCGAAACAGACGAGTATCATTCTCAAACGAGACGAAAGTCATCTCTCGACCTGTGACTCTCAATCCAGCCTCGAATACCGCGGCTGTCTCCGAAGACGGTGGACTCAAATCTCCTGTCTACAAGATCCCTCAAAGACAGGGAACCACCGTCACCATGGAGGACAACGATGCAGAAGAGACTCTCGCATCACCTCAGACGACAGGCAAGATCCCCTCCACTCCTTCTTCGGCAAATCGAAGACCCCTGTCCTTCCAGGGCCTCGGTTCACCTAGCTCCACGTCCCCATCCCGATTCGCCTCCACCGCTGCTGCGCGAGGTATCTCCATCGCCCCCTCGCTCTCCAAGGGTGGAGCTTTCCGTTCCATCTGGTCAGCTGGTATCGTCCCCTCTTCGAGCTCGGGCTGGATCAATCCTGCTCCTGCGCTCGCCTCCGCAAACGCCAAACCTCTTAGATCGGCGAAGACACCTACCACTCCGAGCAGTGCCAAGAGTCCCATCGCCGGGTCTGCTGCTGATCTGGCCAAGCAACGAGGACTTAGCATCGCTATCCTCAAGGAGGATGGTCAAGGTGTGCTGCCTGTCACTCCCGGCTTGGGCACCGGTACTTCGGGGTTCAAGAGTCCTTTGGGCGGTCTGAAGAGCCCCGAGGTCAAAGTCTTTCGTGGACTCGATAGTGCCGCCTTATCCGGCTTGGCAAGTGCTAAAAGTACCGGTGTGCCTGATACTGCGAGTAGTGGATCGAGCAAGAAGGAGAGTGAGTAAGATCCCACACTTTCCTGTGACTACCAGCACTGATAGATGTACGTGTGCATGTGGCGTCCTTAGTTATCCTGTGCAAATTCTACCATACACCAGGCTTGACATGCACCTCTCGACCCTGTCGATTTGTCCACAACCTCTCCTCGATCGGTGTCACACCTACGACCGGCGTACCCTCCACCGCCCTGCTCACCGCCAATGCTTTGCTCTCGCCGCGACAGACGCCTGATCCGACCAGCGGAACATTTGCTCAAGCTCAAATGAGAGCTCCAGCCAGCAATGGCAAGTCACTTCGCCTTAGAGATGGCGAGGACTTGGACAACGTGATGCCGGGAGAGCGGGTAGTTGTGGAAGATGAGAATGGCCAAGAAGTCGTCGGTCAGATCTTCCTCATGAGTGGAGGTGGGAAGGGTGCTATGGGCAAGAGCAGGGAGAAGTGGAAGAGTAAGTCGAAACATTCGCATATAACAACGTGACTAGGAGTCGGTTTGTATGCTGACATGTAGTCAACCTTTTTCAGCTGTTCCCTGCAAGGACTTTGCTGAAGGCCATTGTTCATATGGGGACTACTGCTCATTCATACAGTATGTTCAGCTGCCTCGGCAGTCGCTACTGGAAATTCAAGCTGATGAGACAACGCAGTGATGAGAAGGTTCCGGCTGGAACCCTTGCCACAGATCTGAAGGCCGACAAAGGTGATAAGCCAGCAGACGCAAAGACTGAGGCCAGCGCCCCAGCCCGACCCAGTCACCGAAAATCGGCTTCTATGGGCAGTTCGTTGAACGCCTGGACCAAATCGCTTCCAAAGGTTCAGCTCGTTCCCTCGGTCACGGTTGATCCCGAGGTACTGAAGAAGAAAGACAACGGCTTGTCCGCTTTCGCCGCGCCGTTCAGCAAGCAGCCAATCGCTGTGGACAATGCAGGTGAAATTGTGCCCGCTTTGCCATCCCCTACACCCCTTCTGCCCTCAGCAAAGATTGATGGCGAGGGTCTGAAGGCGATCACCCCTCCTGCTCGGGCCAAGGAGCCTCTGGCGATCCCTATGGCGCCAACCCCTACTGCTCCTCCCAAGTCGAACGCGTGGTCAAAGGGTCCGCCGCCTAATCTCAGAAAGGTAGCGAGTCTCAAGAAGGTCATGATCACCGATACCGAGCCTTCATCACAGCTTGCTATCATCCCTGACCATCATGCCGGGTCGGGCGAGCTGAAGACACCTACTTCAGCCACTCATTTGATGCCTCCGGTTTCGGCATTCTCCATGTTTGGGACAGAGTCAGATCCCGCTTCACCTTTCGACCCCGTTGTTCAACGTCGAAAGATGCAAGAGCTCGAAGACGCGCTCACCATGCGACAAAATGCCCTGCCTCGATCCAATCTGTCTCAAGCGATGTCATATGATGCAACTCCCATGTCGCCCACGGGCGGCTACCCCATGTCCCCGACTTCTTCAGTGGGGCTCGGCAGCTCGACCTACCCCTGGGGCATGCCTATGTCACCAGTAGTTATCCCTGGATATCAGGACCCAGTCATTTCCAGTATACCGGGTGGACTAGGCGTGATGTGGACTCCTGCCGGCTGGGCTGTGCAGGATGCAGCTATGAAGAATGCTTTACGGACTGCGGAGGTGAAGACCAAATTTGGCGAGGAGACGAGAAGACGACAGGCGAAGAACTACTTCAGAAGTGAGTTTCTGCAGGAGTCTACGTTCCTTACCTGTCTTAATTGCAGTGGCTGATTATATGTCACCTTGCGTTCCTAGCCCGTCCTTGTAAATTCTTCATGGAGGGCTTCTGTCCCCACGGCGAGGAATGCACTTAGTGAGTCAATTGACCATAGATCGTAAGGAACTCCATCAGCTGACAGTGTAAGCAGTATGCACATGATCCCTCCTCCTTCACCTGATCAGACCGCTTCGTCCGACTCGGATTCCTTCTCGCCGCCTTCGAAACCTTCGATGCTACAATCTGGCCTGCGACACCCCAAGCACCAGACCTTGCCTTGTAAATTCTACAACTCTGCAATGGGCTGTATGAACGGCGACTCTTGTACATTCCTGCACACGCGAGTGGTACCTGACAGTGTACCCCTTGTCGAGCGGCCAAGACCATGGCGAACTAAGCCATGTCGTCACTTCCAATTGGGCCGTTGCACATTGGGTGACGCCTGCCATTTCGCTCACGTCCCCGACCCAGCTTGGCTAGCATCGGGCAACACCATGCCGTACAGCGGCGCGAGAGAGGACCGACCATGCCCTTCTTGGAATAGGACCGGTCGATGTCCTGATGGAAACGGATGCAGATTCCTCCATATGGGTGAAGGGGGAGAAGGTAACGCCGAGAGCCTGACTGAAGAGGGGTTGCAGAAGACCCTCGAGGAGATGCGAGAGAAGGTCAGGAGGTGGAACGAGGAGGAAGAGGAGGACGATGACGATGTTGAGATTGTGAGTGCACCCAGCTTTTTATTGAAAAAAAAAACAAGATCGTAGCGGTGTTGACTAGATCACTCTAGGTCACCGGCATGAGCTCGTCAAGCTACAGTCCTTCTTCTTCCATTAGGGCATGAGCGTACTATCACGTCTTCCCGTTGAATCCACTTGTCAGGCGTCACTGTCCTGTCCATGGTGCTTGCGGTGGAGATCTTTTACATGGGCCCCC